CGGCAGCGAAGGGCCGCGGCAGCTCGTGCCCACCCAGCTGGTCCTGCAGCGGTTTTGCTCTCCTGCCTGGCTCTGGGCTGCAGCAGCACTCGCTGCAGCTGCACTTCCACCGCTCCCCTTGTGACATGTTCGGCACGTGTCCGTGTCGGGTGGGATTCAGCTGGTGCAGAGTGTATCCTTAAAAAGGAATTTGGCTTTGAATATGCCTCTAATGTCAATATGTGGATTGCCGACCTCTGAAATTTAATGCAACTTGGTTAGCATCTTCCTGGCAGTTGCCAAAAACCGGAGTCAGCCCCATCAAATTGATTTTCATTAAGCTGTTATAGACACTGAAACTGCTGAGAATTGTAGCCATATGGCACAAGGTATTTAAAATGAAGTCCCTGATGACACAGTTTGCCATTCCTGGAGGTGCTGAGCTGACTTGTGCAGAGGTTATTGATCTGGGGCAGGGAGGGGGCCTCAGCACTTGAGTGCCAGCACAAGAGGCAATAATAAACGCCACTGAGAGCAAAGCACACGGTGTTTGTGGTGGGCGCCCTGCTGTTCCTGTCCCCACCGGAGGAGGAAGAGGCCACGAGTTTCAGATATTTAGACCTTGGTGTGCGGACAAGTGCTTCTCCTGCACCGAACGGTTTGAGTCCAGCTGGCAGGGCTGCGACTTGCCCGTTAATTCTTCAACTGTCAGCAAGAACAGCCTCTGAGAGCGTGCAGGGAGCGTGTCCCTCCCTGGGAGCATCCGCGGATCTCCTCGAGCGTCCTGGAGGTGCTGCACAGCCCCGGACACGCCAATGGCTGCCGGGGGAGAAACACCCTGCCTTCCATTCTTCTTCTGACACACATGGGCTGTGCCGTGGGGATCAGCCAAAGGCTCTAGTCAGTTCTAGGAGCTGTCAGGCACTTGTAGGCAAGGAGAGTCAGAGTGGAATTAAGTGATTAGAAATATATAAATATTAATTGCTTATGAACTCCCTTTATGACAGTTGCAGGCAGAAGTAGTTAATAAATCACTGATGGGATTGACCCACAAAACGCTGATGCAGAGTCTATCTGAGAGAAGACCAAAGGGGCGGGGGGGAAGGGAGCTTCTCTGGAGCAGAGCAGCACTGTTTGTAAGTCAGGTACCCACACAACAAAGCTGCTTTCTTTTTCCCGGGGCTTCATGTCCAGAGTCTGCCTCTTGCTGCAGAGGGGAGCGATTTGCACAGATGCCACCAGCCGGCCACCCGCAGTGGCCTCGCTGCGCTTGCAGCATCTTTGTGCCCGCCCTTTCGTGGGGAGCAGACAGGTCCCTCGGTCAGTTCCTGCCCTGTAACAGGGTCTCTGCACAGAGCCCCAGGGAAACACCCTCCCTGGACCTTCCGGGGGTCCGGTGGAGCCTGGGGACTGTGGCAGTGAGAAGCCTTAAAGCCCAGGCGCAGGGACACGCACGTTCATGCATTCGTTTCACTGCGTATTGCCCGGACGTCCTTTGGAGGTGCTGCTCTAGCGTGTAATCGTAGAAAGGAAAACAGAAGAGTAGAGAAAAAAAATATATTTTAAGCAAAGCAAAGGAACCAGCTAACAGCCACCAACCATAAAAGCTTTGTTCAGAGGCAGGGGTTGCACCAGCCAGTGAGTTCAGTGTCGGCCCCCAGTGGGGCCCTGGGCAGCAGGGCTGTACGGAGACCCAGGGCGGAAAGGGGGACAGACCTTTGCTCTTCTGTTGCATTTATGTGGGACGAGTCTGTTTTCTCAAGTCAATAGCTGATGCTTGAGTTTAAACTTGCTCTCAGGCTGTCTAGGTTTTAGTGGCAGCTTTGCAAGGGTGATTTGTATAAATGGCTGCTGGTGGTGGAATGCATGTGTGGAAATCTTCCGTGCTAAGGTGAATCTATTATTTTTGTCAAAACCTTCGTCATAAATTTTGCCCAAAGCAATTATTGTTACCAGAGCATTCTAATTACTTTAAGTAGCCAAGCTTACATATGCTTGCATCCTCTCCACAGTTCAGCCTAATATATTCATGCAAAAGCACGAAGGAGGCTTTGCTTCCGTTTATTCTCCTGTTCCCCCTAATCCTCATCCCTCATCCTTCTGCCTCGCTGTCTTTCGTCACTATTAAAAAGCAGCGCATGCAAAAACAAGCAGCGAAACCCTGTGCCAGGATCCTAAGTGTGAGGAGGACACTCAGTTAGGCTCCTGCTCTCTGAGAAGGGAACTCTGCAGTCCCACAAGCTTTAGCGACCCTGGTCTTGCTGCGCTCCCCAAGGGTACAGGGAGGTTTTGGGGAGCCGTGATCTCCTGCGGCATCACTGCTCGCTTGTGCTTGAAGCTCAGCAAAAAGACCTGGTCCCCAAACAGCACCGGGGGGAGAAGGGTCTCCCCGTCCTTCCCCAGGGGTGCAGCCAGACTGAAGCAACTCGGAGACAAATGCGGGGCCCGACGAGCTGCTTGAGGAGGTCGAAGCCACCTGGAGTGCCCCTGCGGGGCGAAGGCAGCCCGGAGCTGCTCCTGGCGGGGCTGTGCAGTGACGGCCGGCCGCGCAGCGCGGGGAGCAGAGCCGAGG